AAAAAAAAAAAAAAAACAAAAAAAGCAAAAAATTTAACAGTCAATTAGTTAATTCAGTCAATTTTAGTGTTTTTAATTAAATTTAAATTTTAAATAAATAATTAATTCAAATAAATATATTTTTTTTAACCTGTCACACGTCCCAACACATAATTTTCATAATAACTTTAAAATTAAGAGTGATGGGTTCGGTTGTATTCCTATTTTTGAGTTGGTCGGGTTGATCGGACTAAAATAATAACAATTTTATGGTAAAATTAGTATTTTATAGTTTGATAGAAAGTTCGTAAATAAAATATATTATAAATACTATTTGCAGAGATTTTATAGAAAATATAAAAATATTTATGAAAATAAAATAATTAAATTATAATTTTTCGAATAATTTTATGATTTTAGATTTTTGAGTGTTTTTTTTTATTAATTGAAATGAGAAAATAAAAGGTAAAATATTTATATTTGGGAAAAATATTAATATGATATTTGTGAATTTCCATATTTATTTGTAGCCTTATAAATGTTTTGTAAAGTTGAATTATTTTTATAAATAATAAAATTTTAAATTTCTAAATAAAACAATAAACAACTCAGCAAATGGAGGTGGTGGTGTCCACAATCTGAAACAACATGATTGATCTGATATATAATATAATAATATAATAATATATTTATGTTTATTTATTTATATATATTTTGTATACAAATTCACCATTTATAGATAAAATGGCTGACAGCGACGGATCATGAGAACATACTCTTGTACTTTTTGTTCGGTTTTCTAGTTGACATTTTTTTGTTAGGTCAACAACGTTTGTATGAGAGGTTAGTGATATGTTATAATTTGTAAATGTGTGATATTTGAATTTTATCAGATTTTAATCGTTAATGTAACTGTTTTTGTAGATAAAATAGTTTTTTCAAATAATTAAAAAAGAACAATCCAACAAGTCGACTTGAAAATGGAGAGTTGGGTTATGAGCTCTTCCAATTACTTGGGTCACCAATCCAACCAACCTGAAATTTTGAGTTGGTCTAAAAGATTTTTTCAACCCAACCGAACCCAACTCCTAAATTTTAAGAAATGAATTATTTTAACTTCAAATTGAATGAAATTGATAGCATGATAGATATCCCGGTTTAGAATGCTATGCAAGGTCCGTGTTGATAATTTGTTCATGCGTGTGACGTTAATGGGGTTATATGAAGACGATTAGGGGTTTGTCTACTAGTCTCTGATCGTGAGCTTGACTTGACTGTCAGCGGTTCGCATAATCATTTTAGAACTGGCTATAATTTTTGTACTTGTACTCTTGTGGGACTATTAGGAGGGTTTGACAGTTAGCTTTCTCTTAGTGAACCTGTCAAGAATAGTCCGCAACTGTATATTGAGAGTTGGTTGGACTAGAGATGAACGGTGAGAGTGCATGAATCTAAGGATACGGTCATGGGTCTCCAACCACTTCCTAATAGTGATCTTGTTCAGATGAGAGCGAAGGACCACATAGGTAGATGAGAACTTGATAGTAGAAGGTCGTTACCTTCCTTGTGAGACGAGGATTATGGGTTGGAACTGACGCTAAAGTCATACAGGTTTAGAACGACAATGATGATGAAAGGGACCAGCAGAACGATTATATGAGATACCTGAAGAACATTAGATGAACTCTAAGGGCGGGAGGTCCAAACAAGACTAAGAAATGAAAATTTGATAGCTTCCACTAATTATCCTAAATTGAGCTTAGATGGAATGAATAAACCTACGATGTAGCCTAGGAAGAATCTATACTTGGGAACGAACTCCTATGTAAAAATAAGACACAAAATGAACAAACGAAATGA